AATGGGCCACTTCACATCAGATGACCACCAGATCTACTACTGCGGACAAGAGGAACATCGAAGAAATGGAGTAGCCTTCATAATTAATAAGAAATTCGCTAAAGCAGTGCTTGGATACAACCCAAAAAATGACAGAATGATCTCAATTCGAGTGCAAGGAAAGCCTTTCAACATCACAGTGATCCAAATATACGCCCCAACCACAGCTGCTGAAGAAGCAGAAGTAGATAACTTCTATGAGGATCTGCAGGACCTACTGGATAATACACCAAAAAGAGACATTATTTTCATTACAGGAGACTGGAATGCCAAGGTGGGAAGTCAAATGACAACTGGGATCACAGGCAAGCATGGTCTGGGAGAACAAAATGAAGCGGGACGCAGGCTGATAGAATTTTGCCAGGAAAACTCGCTGTGTATAACCAATACTCTCTTCCAACAACCTAAAAGACGGCTTTACACATGGACCTCACCAGACGGTCAACACCGAAATCAGATTGACTACATCCTTTGCAGCCAAAGGTGGCGGACATCCATCCAGTCGGTGAAAACAAGACCTGGGGCTGACTGTAGCTCAGATCACGAACTTCTTATTGCCCAATTTAGAATAAAACTAAAGGGATCAGGGAAAATACACAGACCAGTTAGATATGATCTCACTAACATTCCTAGCGAATATACAGTGGAAGTGAAGAACAGATTTGAAGGACTAGATTTAGTAAACAGAGTCCCAGAAGAACTATGGACAGAAGTCCGCGACATTGTTCAGGAGGCGGCAACAAAGTACGTCCCAAAGAAAAAGAAAATGAAGAAGGCAAAATGGTTGTCTGCTGAGACACTGGAAGTAGCCCAAGAAAGGAGGAAAGCAAAAGGAAACAGTGATAAGGGGAGATATGCCCAGTTAAATGCGCAATTCCAGAGGTTAGCCAGAAGAGATAAGGAACTATTTTTAAATAAGCAATGCATGGAAGTGGAAGAAGACAACAGAATAGGAAAGACAAGAGACCTTTTCCAGAAAATTAGAAACATTGGAGGTAAATTTCAGGCAAAAATTGGTATGATAAGAAACAAAGATGGCAGGGACCTAACAGAAGCTCAAGAGATCAAGAGAAGGTGGCGAGACTATACAGAAGATCTGTATAGGAAGGATAATAATATCGAGGATAGTTTTGACAGTGTGGTGAATGAATTAGAACCAGACATCCTGAGGAGTGAGGTTGAATGGGCCTTAAGAAGCATTGCTAACAACAAGGCAGCAGGAGACGACGGGATCCCAGCTGAACTGTTTAAAATCTTAAAAGATGATGCTGTCAAGGTGATGCATGCCATATGCCAGCAAATATGGAAAACACAAGAATGGCCATCAGACTGGAAAAAATCAACTTATATCCCCATACCAAAAAAGGGAAATGCGAAAGACTGCTCAAACTCCCGTACAGTGGCCCTTATTTCTCATGCCAGTAAGGTAATGCTCAAGATCCTGCAAGGAAGACTCCAGCAATACATGGAGCGAGAGTTGCCAGATGTTCAAGCTGGGTTTAGAAAAGGCAGAGGAACGAGAGACCAGATTGCCAATATCCTCTGAATAATGGAGAAAGGCAGGGAGTTTCAGAAAAACATCTATTTCTGCTTCATTGACTATTCTAAAGCCTTTGACTGTGTGGATCATAATAAATTGTGGCAAGTTCTTGGTGGGATGGGCATCCCAAGCCACCTTGTCTCTCTCCTGAGGAATCTGTACAAGGACCAAGTAGCAACAGTCAGAACTGACCACGGAACAACAGAGTGGTTCAAGATTGGGAAAGGCGTACGGCAAGGCTGCATCCTCTCACCCAACCTTTTTAACTTGTATGCAGAACACATCATGCGATGTGCGGGGCTTGATGAATGCAAAGGTGGGGTGAAAATTGCTGGAAGAAACATTAAAAACCTCAGATATGCAGATGACACCACTCTGATGGCCGAAAGCGAGGAGGAGCTGAGGAGCCTTCTAATCAAGGTGAAAGAAGAAAGCGCAAAAGCTGGGTTGCAGCTAAACATCAAAAAAACAAAGATTATGGCAACAAGAATGATTGACAACTGGGAAATAGAGGGAGAAAACGTGGAGGCCGTGACAGACTTTGTATTTCTAGGCGCAAAGATTACTGCAGATGCAGACTGTAGCCAGGAAATCAGAAGACGCTTACTTCTTGGGAGGAGAGCAATGTCCAGACTCGATAAAATAGTGAAGAGTAGAGACATCAGACTGGCAACAAAGATCCGCCTAGTCAAAGCCATGGTATTCCCTGTAGTAACCTACGGATGTGAGAGCTGGACCTTAGGGAAGGCTGAGCGAAGGAAGATCGATGCTTTTGAACTGTGGTGTTGGAGGAAAGTTCTGAGAGTGCCTTGGACTGCGAGAAGATCCAACCAGTCCATCCTCCAGGAAATAAAGCCCAACTGCTCATTGGAGGGAAGGATACTAGAGACAAAGTTGAAGTACTTTGGCCACATCATGAGGAGACAGCAAAGCCTAGAGAAGACAATTATGCTGGGGAAAGTGGAAGGAAAAAGGAAGAGGGGCCGACCAAGGGCAAGATGGATGGATGGCATCCTTGAAGTGACTGGACTGACCTTGAAGGAGCTGGGGGTGGTGACGGCCGACAGGGAGCTCTGGCGTGGGCTGGTCCATGAGGTTACGAAGAGTCGGAGACGACTGAACGAATGAACAACAACAACATATTAAAATCCACGTGTTAAATTCATAATATATATTGTTGGTTTCTACCAACCTAGCAGTTCAAAAACATACAAATGTTAGTAGATCAATAGGTACCACTCTGGAGGGAAGGTAATGGTGCTCCATGCAGTCATGCCAGCCACATGACCTTGGAGGCGTCTATGGACAATGCCAGCTCTTCAGCTTAGAAATGGAGATGAGCACCAACCCCAGAGTCGGGCAGGACTGGACTTAATGTCAGGGGAAACCCTTTACCTTTTATAGTGGTATATTTGAATGATTTTAAAGTGATTTCACTGTGGAATTTAACTCAACTGGGACACACATCAGAAAATCTTCATATTGAAAGCCTTCTTTCTAGGCAATGACTTTGGCTTCTGGTAGGAATGCCTTCCTCATTGGCCAGTGAATTATTGGTGTACTTGAAATTAAGTCCAAAGCTTGGTGGAGTTTAAGATGAGAAGATCCAATCAGTTCTGAATAGTACACATGCAGGTACACCTTCCTCACAATATTCAAAAGTGGAAATTGGATAACAATCTTAGCCTGCTGCTTCTGTGAATATTACAGGAAATCTCTCCAGTGAAGGAGAACTACCCCTCTTTCTTTCAAATACATTTTCCTCCTCAAAACTGGTAGCGGTTTAGAAGAAAGGAAATAGCACCACCTGTTGACCAATTTCAAAAAATTCATAACAGTGAATTTTCTTCATTTCTTCCTTTATATCAGTGTTTCTCAACCTGGGGGTTTCAGAGGGGTCGCCAAAGACCATGAGAAAATACATATTTCTGATGGTCTTAGGAACCTCTTTGAGAGAGAAGGCTGAAGATCTTTCCACCTGTCATAGAATCATAGAATCATAGAATCAAAGAGTTGGAAGAGACTTCATGGGCCATCCAGTCCAACCCCCTGCCAAGAAGTAGGAATATTGCATTCAAATCACCCCTGACAGATGGCCATCCAGCCTCTGTTTAAAAGCTTCCAAAGAAGGAGCCTCCACCACACTCCGGGGCAGAGAGTTCCACTGCTGAACGGCTCTCACAGTCAGGAAGTTCTTCCTAATGTTCAGATGGAATCTCCTCTCTTGTAGTTTGAAGCCATGTTCCTGCGTCCTAGTCTCCAAGGAAGCAGAAAACAAGCTTGCTCCCTTCTTCCTGTGACTTCCTCTCTACATATTTATACATGGCTATCATATCTCCTCTCAGCCTTCTCTTCTTCAGGCTAAACATGCCCAGCTCCTTAAGCCGCTCCTCATAGGGCTTGTTCTCCAGACCCTTGATCATTTTAGTCGCCCTCCTCTGGACACATTCCAGCTTGTCAATATCTCTCTTGAAATGTGGTGCCCAGAATTGGACACAATATTCCAGATGTGGTCTAACCAAAGCAGAATAGAGGGGTAGCATTACTTCCTTAGATCTAGACACTATGCTCCTCTTGATGCAGGCCAAAATCCCATTGGCTTTTTTTGTCCTTCTCTTCCTTTTTGGTGTTGGTGAACTTCAACTTCCAGAATTCAAAAACAGCCCCCCAACCACACCAGTATTCAATGTTGGCCATGTAGATAATGTGCCAAGTTTGGTGCAGATCCATTGTGGGCTGGGTTCAGAGTGCCCTTTGATTGTAGGTTAACTATAAATCCCAGTAATTACAACTCCCAAGTGTCAAGCTCTATTTTCCGCAAACTCCACCAGTGTTCACATTTGAGCATATTGAGTATTCGTGCCAAGTTTGGTCCAGATTCATCATTGTTTGAGCCCACAGTGCTCTCTGGATGTAGGTGAACTACAGCCCCCAAACTCAAGGTCAATGCCCACCAAACCCTTTCAGTATTTTCTCTTGGTCATGGGAGTTCTGTGTGCCAAGATTGGGTTCAATTCCATCGTTGGTGGAGTACAACTCCAAAATGACAAAATCAATCCCCTACCAACCCCATCAGTATTCAGATGTGGGCATATTGGGTATTTGTGCCAAATTTGGTCCAGTAAATGAAAATACATCCTGCATATCAGATATTTATATTACTATTCATAACAGTAGCAAAATTACAGTTATGAAGTAGCAACGAAAGTAATTTTATGGTTGGAGGTCACCACAACATGAGGAACTGTATTAAGGGGTCACGGCATTAGAAAGGTTGAAAACGATTTTTTATAGTTCTGAACTATGATCAAATTTTGACTTACTTAATCATTGAAAGGCTATCTCACTGGTTATCCTATTGCTTGTTGATGTGTGTCTTTAAATATATCTCACTGACTTATTATAATCTTTATTTTCCTAGAATGTCGCCTTATGGTTGTTTAGCAACAGGAGATCTTTCTGGCTTAATTGAGGTGGTTTCTATGTCTGAGACGATTGCAGACATTCAACTAAACAGCAGTAATGTTGCTGCCGCCGCTGCATTCAATAAAGATGCTCTTTTAAACTGGCTCAAAGAATACAACTCGGGGTAAGCTGTTACATCCTCATTAGTTTACTGTTGAACTTCCAAAGTTTAAGATGTCAGTTGGAGGATGTTAAAGATGGGCTGCCTGGCTAATCTGTCATGCATGCTGTGGCTGTAGATTTCGTGCCTTGTCCAAGCATTGGAGTATATAGTTCTTAAGACGCCTCTAAGTCTACAACTCTAGGTTTCTGTAATTTTCTTATTAACCCTTTTTGAGAGCCAGTGGGTATAGAGCATTGGACTATGACTCTGGTGATCAGGGCTCAAAGCTCCATTCAACTGAAAACCTATTGGGCAACCTTGGGCAAGTCACATACATCCAGCCTCAGAGAAATAATAAATCTTATGACAGGTTTGTCTTAGGATTGCCATCAATCAGAAATGATACCGAAGACATACAATAATAACAAACACATTGCAATAAGATCTATTGAACTCAGAATTTACTTCTGAGTAGGTATTCTCTGTTAAAGCTTTCTCTGTTCATTTGTATGTACAGGCAGTCCCCAAGTTATGAACAAGATAGGTTCTATGTGTTTTCGAAGGCTTTCATGGCTGGAATCACTGGGCTGCTGTGAGCTCTCTGGGTTATATGACCATGTTCCAGAAAACCCGCTTGCCTAGTTTCCAGCAGACCTCACAACCTCTGAGTATGCCTGCCATAGATGTGGGCAAAACGTCAGGAGAGAATGCTTCTGGAACATGACCATACACCCCGGAAAACTCACAGCAACCCAAAGATAGGTTCTGTATATGTGTGTGTGTATGGGAGGGGTGGGAGAGAGGGCTTTGGATAGCATAGGGAAAGGTTAATACTCTTGTGGTGTTTGTTTTGCTATCTGTGCCCCTGCTCAGAAGATTTTGCTTCACTTTCAGTCTCTCTGATAACTTAAAAAAATGGTTTGTTGTGAAAACAAGGATTGGTGATAAAGCTTCAATGGACACACCTTTTCTCCACGATAACTCATACAGGGGTGAATTTCTCTTCCTAGAAGTAGATTTCTCTCACTTCCTGTGGTCTCACGCCTGTTTGTATCTATGAGTCATGTTTGTAACTCAGGAACTGCCTGTATTTAAAAGGAACCATTGATTTGACAGTTGTAGGTTTGTGAGATATTTTTGCTATGAAATAAATTTGTAAACTTTTTAGAAGTTGGGAGGGTCCCATAAACACGCTATATAGTAATCTTGCAGTATTTAACTAATTAGTAGCTTGAAATGGTTCTAAGGCAGCATATGCTTTTTGAAGCAATGTTAATTTGCTTAGGAGCTTTTAGTAATCATCTCAAATCATTTTCCTCCAATTTAGAGATGACTTGGATCGGGCCATTGAAGCATTTACATTATCTTGTGCTGGCTACTGTGTAGCTACTTATGTGCTGGGCATAGGAGACAGACATAGTGACAATATCATGGTCAGGAAAAATGGTCAGGTAAGCACAAACTTAAGTTATCTCTTATTAGAGAGGTTTGGAAGAAAACTTATCCATGTTATGTTTTGGATTAAATATGTTTAATTGTTTTAAAGATTTTAGAACAAAACCATTATGAATTAATTTCCTAGTGTCACTAATTATTTTATTTTTTTTGCAAACTTTCTCTAGCTCTTTCACATAGATTTTGGGCATATTCTTGGAAATTTCAAATCAAAATTTGGAATTAAAAGGGAACGAGTGCCTTTCATCCTCACCTATGATTTTATTCATGTCATTCAGCAAGGGAAAACTGGAAATACTGAAAAATTTGGTCGGTAAGTACTACTTGATTAGTTCTGCTCCTTGGTCTTAAAGAGGTTTCATCAGGTGGTGAAATGAAATAAAATTATAATTATGAACAAAATTACATTGGTCCAATATTATCTTAGTTCTAAAACAGTATTGTACTCAGCTTTCTAAGCTAGAGATAGAAAGCATGCAGAACTCTTACTGTTGTTTTACTCCAAGTCCCAGCATTCCCTCATCATTAACTATGTTGGGATTACCTAGAACTGTTGGATTTATTTGATTCCTTTATTTATATCCTGCTTTTTTCTACAAAGCTGGAGCCCAAGATGGTTTATGGGGGGAGAAAAACAAGAGTAAAAACACATAGAGCTAAAGTAGGTAAATGTAAAGGTTTCCCTGGGGTTGGTGCTCATTTCCATTTCCAAGCCGAAGAGCCGGCGTTGTCCATAGATACCTCCAAGGTAATGTGGATGGAGCACCGTTACCTTCCCGCAGAAGCGATACCTATTGATCTACTCACATTTGCATGTTTTCGCACTGCTAGGTTGGCAGAAGCTGGGGCTAACAGCGGGAGCTCACCCTGCTCCCCAGATTCAAACCACTAGCCTTTTGGTCAGCAAGTTCAGCAGTTCAGTGGTTTAATCTTCTACATCACCAGGGGGCGAAATAGAGCTAAAAGGACACAAAAATATGCTTGAAGTAGTATTGAACTAAAATAATTTAAAATGTTGAAAAATAAAGATAGGAAAGCAGCCTAGAAATCCCTTTTTCTGATAAAACAGCCAGTTCCCAAATAAAAAGTCTGCAGGTCTTTCAATCTAATTATAGTATTATGATTCTGTTTTAACTGTCATTCATGACAACTTTGTGTGGAATTTTGGGATTTGCAATTCAAGGTGAGTCATTTAGGAAATCTATGCTGGAACGCACTAGTGCCTTCCTAAATTGTAGAATCCAGTATCGCATAGGAAGTTGCCATTGGCAATTAGAGTGGAATCATAACACTATAAACATATTCCAATTTTGTCCCTTGCACTTTTTTTGTTGTGTCAGGAGCAACTTGAGAATCTGCAAGTCGCTTCTGGTGTGAGAGAATTGGCTGTCTGCAAGGATGTTGCCCAGGGGACGCCCGGATGATTTTTGATGTTTTTATCATCCTTGTGGGAGGCTTCTCTCATGTCTCCGCATGAGGAGCTGGAGCTGATAGAGGGAGCTCATCTGCCTCTCCCCGGATTTGAACCTGCGACCTGTCGGTCTTCAGTCCTGCAGGCACAGGGGTTTAACCCACTGCGCCACCGGGGGCTCCGGTGCACTGTCCCTTTCACAGTCCCTTGCACTGACATTTGTGTTTATATCAACTTAAACCATCATAGAGTTAACAAATCACCATCCTTTTCTCCTTCTGGTCTATCATATCATTTAATTATGCCCCTTCTCACGGAATCATAGAGTTGGAAGAGACTGCAAGGGCCATCTAGTCCAGTGCAATCTAAGCAGTCCTAACAGATAGCCATCCAGCTTCTGTTTTAAAGCCCTTTTAATATTAAAAGGTCTCTGAATACTATCAGAGTCTTGCTGCAGCTATAAACTGTAGCAATTAAGTTCCTCCTTGCTTTTGAAAATGATCTCTCTATTTGCTTTGACCATGATGCCACTGAATCACAAGAATTGCCAGAGAAACCAATATTGTCAAGGGAAACAGAGTTTTGTGCCTAGACAGTGAAAAATTCTTTGATCATCAAGGTTCAAGGGCATCTTCAGGAGAGAGGATCAGAGGGCAGGCAGAAAACTTTGGGTCATAAAAGCTGTAAGAAAGGGACCAAACTGACATGAGACGTTTTATAGAAAATGATGTCTTTGAAGATATAAGTCAGCTGAATTCTACTTTTATTTTCCAAACCTCACTGAGAATATTTCAGTTATAAAATATTTATTATTAACTTCTTTTATTAATACTTATTTCGGAGTGCCCAGTGGCACAGTGGGTTAAACCTTTGTGCTGGCAGGGCTGAAGACCGACAGGTTGGAGGTTCGAATACAGTGAGAGCGCGGATGAGCTCCCTCTGTCAGCTCCAGCTCCCCATGCAGGGACATGAGAGAAGCCTCCCACAAGGATGTTAAAACATCAAAAAAACATCCGGGTGTCCCCTGGGTAATGTTCTTGCAGATGGATAATTCTCTCACACCAGAAGTGACGTGCAATTTCTCAAGTCGCTCCTGACACGGAAAAAAAACACCAACTTATTTTTCAATGTTTCCAACTGTTACTGGAGCCCAATATTATAATGTAGGCAGCATTAGAAAATTACTTTTTAATTATATGTTGAAGCCCTGAAAATACATTGAATCCAATTAAAATGTGTATAACATGATTATGAAAAATAGTCAACTTGGAATATCTATTCTTATCACTAGAGGGCAGGTCAGTATTTTGTTTTTCCAGTCACAATATACGGGTAGGCAGAACCTTTTTCCATTCTGTGAACCCTTTCACTCTCTGGAAGGAATTCCTGGAGGTTTTTTACTGCAGCCTGACTTCTGATTTGGAAAAGCCTTTACCTTGTGCTCTACTTGTTGTTGCACTGTGTAACCTGTGTAACAAGTTAGACCTGTGCTTTGATGTGAGCTACAAAATGCCCATAAACAACATGTTACCCATTCGTTCTTTGGCTATGTTAATTTGCTTAGGAGCTCTAAGTTATTATATTTGGCTCTTTGCCTTGTAGCAACCAGCACACAATGCCTCAGTATGATCTGTTGCTAGGTAAGGCAAAAAGCAAACAATTTGCAAGTGAATTCTTTCTCAGAATAAATAACCTGTAGCAGCTGTTTTGTTCCATGTCTATTTGGAAAGTAATGTAAAACGGGAGCATAGGGTGAGTTTAAAATGCCAGGTTACATTAGCAAATTGGTCCTGTTCATGGAACTGAACTAGATCAGGCTACCTGGAGTCTGGCCCACTTCTGGTTGCCCTCCTTTCACAATGTGTGTGTTTTGTGGTTGTTAAGGTTTCGCCAGTGTTGTGAAGAAGCATACTTGATTCTGCGAAGACATGGGAACCTCTTTATCACCCTCTTTGCACTGATGTTAACTGCTGGGCTTCCAGAACTAACCTCTGTTAAAGACATCCAGTATCTGAAGGTAAACCATGGTTGTGAAACTCAGAGATCTATGCATTTTCTGTCTCCTTTGTTGTTGCTATCATGTGCTGCCAAGCTGCTTTTGAATTATAACAACACTATGAATGAGAGACCGTGAAGAGATCTGTTACTAATAGCACTGTTCAAGTCTTACAGACTTAGGGCTGCAGTTTCCTTTATTGCAGGGCAGGCAAAGTGGGGATCCCAGAGATTCATGTTCCAAAATCTTCCATCCTAAAACTTACTTTCAAGCCTCTAGCCATTTGTTCCTCATATCATATCCATATCCCTTATCTTCAGATTTCTTTTGATCATATAAAGTATCTAGTAGCCACATTAGAATTACATGGAGGAAGAAATTGTTGAAATATTGTAGACAGAAGGGAGGGAGGGAGGGAGGGAAGGAGGACAGAAGGAAGGAAGGAAGGAAGGAAGGAAGGAAGGAAGGAAGGAAGGAAGGAAGGAAGGAAGGAAGGAAGGAAGGAAGGAAGGAAGGAAGGGTCTAGTGCAACCTATAGGCTCTATGTGAGCTCCCAAGTTCAAAGTCTTTCCTCCTTCAGCACTCCCATTCTCCACCACAGCAAAGTGTAATTAATGGGTTCATGCTGTCCCCAGTGATTAAAAATGCAGTTTTTAAAGTTTGGCACCAAAATTCCTGCCGGGAGTATTTTTGCCATGTTCTTGGGCCTTTCGACCATTTAAGGGTCAGGAGAGATGTTCCTTAAAATTAAAAAATTAAAAAGGTAGTGACTTCTAATCACTTTCTGTTGTTAAAAGGAAAAGTCTTGCTTAAAACAAGGCATACAGGAAGCTCAGGGTTAGAAAACTGTGCCCCTCAGGCTTCCATAGTTGCCCCATGCTCTCAGTACTTATATCCTCCCCCACTACAAAAAAAAAGAGCAGCCCCTCATGTCTCTAGGAAGCATGGAAGTTGATTTCATCCAAGGAGAAGGACACTTTTATTTTCTGCGAAACCAGAAGCAACTGGTGGTCACTTTTGTTTTTTTAAAGGTGCTTCCTGACGTGGTGTTGGGCAGTGTCTCTCAAACTATGCTCCTCAAGGTGTTTTGGACTTCAGTTCTCAGAAATCCCAGCCAGTTTACCAGCTGTTAGGAATTATGGTAGCTGAAGTTCAAAACATCTGGAGGAACACAGTCTGTTATAGAACATGGGTTTGAGGCTTTTTTAAGTTTAAAAAGTAGAAGCTTGGATATGTGGTCCATGACAGTCTAGTTGTATGTGTATGTGTTGTTCCCAAATCTCTAGAAATTGTCCGCTCCTATTGCAAAGAATAAGATGTGGTGATGATTGGATTAAAAAGGGGAAGGGGAAACTTGAAGAGATTGGAGTTCATAAAATACCTTTCCACCCACAATGAACAGGAGTGACCAAAATGCAATCCTCCTGGGGTATTTTTGTGACCTTCATGGGCCTCTATTTTTTTTAACCCCAAAATATCCTTTGGGGATGTGAGAGGTATTTTTGCCAGTTTGAATCCAAAAAGTCCTTTTTGTCTCAAACATATAGATCAGAAGTGACTTCCACTCCCTCTTTTGGAAAAAAAAGTTTTTTCTTACAGCCCTAGGGAGCGTTGAGGGACATTTTGGGCAAATAAAATGGGGTTTGGTGCGTAGGTGGAAGGGCGCAGTCTCCAAGATCTCTCAGGTGGTAATGTGCCCCCTAACCTCCCACAATTGCCCACCCTTGTTCTAGGACATGAGCTGTCCATAAGTAGTGATTCTTCTCGAAAGGAAGGTATAGGGCCCTGCTTCATTGTGTTAAAATCAAAAGTGAATTTCTGGCTTTGCAAAGAGGGAGAGCTAAGAGCTACACTTTTGACAGGATGTAGACCTCTCTGAGTCCCAGGAGTCAAAACTGTTCTCACAGGAGTTGCCTATTCCTGTCCTAAGTTATTGTTTTCTGAGTCAGTAAGAGCAATTCCCAGTTGCCAACACAGGAGCTGGCAATGTGCAAATGGATGTGATATTTTTGTACTCTCTGTTGTAGCAGATATATCTCTCTATAGTGTTTCTGTTGCTGACATTATTCCTTTGTGGGGTAAAAGAATAGCAATCCATGGCTAGTGGGGCCAGCTGCAGACAATTAAGAAAAAGTGACTATGTTGTGAATTCAAGGAAAATAATTGTCTTGTCAAATACTATTTTTGTTCCTAGGATTCCCTTGCCTTAGGAAAGAATGATGAAGACGCACTAAAGCAATTCAAGCAGAAATTTGATGAAGCACTCAGAGAAAGCTGGACCACTAAAGTGAACTGGATGGCGCACACTGTTCGGAAGGACTACCGATCCTAGATGGTTTATGAATTTGCACTAAGCTGAATGTTACCCTGACAATATAGTGTTAAAAGGGAGACGACACACCTGAGGAAATTGCTTGAGCGATTCCTGATTATTTTGCACTCTGCTTTGGCATGCTTTCATGATATTTTGTAAAATTAGCAGATGTCCTCAGTAATCACTTCTGCTGACTTTGCACGCAGAAAGCTATTACTAAGCTTTTATATTATTATTTTGATACATTGAGAAACTGTAAATATTGGGGATTTTTTAAAAAATGTTTGGGCAGCATACTCTAACATTATGTGGATCGTTAGAGACTTCTTGAACTGATTGCTGAACAGTGTCAGAGGTTTGGGGATTCTGTCATGTCTCTAAATGAACATTGTTGTGTGTGTGTATATATATACATTTTTACTGTCATTGACAGATTTGTTCTACTGGACATAACTGCCAGATTATTGTATAGCCAAAAGCTGCTTATTGTCTTGAACTGCTACCAGAAGAACAGAAATTTCTACATCATGGGAAACTATTTTTAAAAAAACAGATTATTTTGTCCAAGTGCTCAGTGTTGATGTAAATGTCTTAAATTTGATCACAGAGTGGATTGTCTTTGTGAATCATTGAACATGTTTCATTTAGAAAATTTCATGAAGTTGTCTTGATGGTTTTCCAGTGATACCCATAACTATTTGTATGTGTCACATAAACTGTCTAATATGTGTAAATGGAAAACCTATGCTTGAACACTTACCAGGCAGCTACATCGCCAAACAAGAAAAACTGGATGTTAAAGTCATGAGATATCCAATTTCATTTTAAAATACGCTATAGTGCAAACATTTTTTTTAAATGAAAGGGCTCCAAATTGGAGTCAGACCTGTTATTTGCAGTGTCCCTAAATTCACTGCAGTGATGTTTGTCTCATCCAGATTTGTGTTCAACCTAAGATTACTGATGGAGAAAACTGGATTTGTTCTACTTATAAAATATGGTACCATATGTTAAGATGCTCAATACATGAGCAATTCAAAGTAAAAGTGCAATAGGAGCTGCTGGCTGAAGTTGTAACATGAAATGTTTTGAAACAGTGGCAAGATGGACGTCTGACTACTGCTTGCTCTCCAAAGAACACTGATAGTTCTTAGTTTGGATGATTGAATAAAAGTAATTATATATGATGTTACTTTGGGATCAAATCAATGATTTTAAACATGAATTGCATTAAAGACTACTTTGGCTATTTTGCTTTGTCAAAAGTATGTGTGAGTGTTTCTATGGTGGGAAGCTTATGGCCTTCCAGAGGATATTAAGCAGCATGTCCCATGTCTCTTAGCCATCATAACCAATGGTGAGGGATGGGAATTCTTGTCTGCAATGTCTGGAGGCCACATGTCTCCAGTTCTACTGAAAAGTGCACTGTGGATGGATGGATGTAATTCTCTGTTTGACATTCTGTCAAGTTGAGGATCAATAATCCATGAAAAGGTCAAATGAGATGGGCAATATATCATACATTTGAATTTGATATCTCGCTTGTATCGCTTGTGTTATATTCTACTGGCATTGCATTTTGAAGCATTCTGCCCTTTCAAAACTCAGACCTGTCAATTTTCAGGTAATATTCTGTAAACCTTATTTTCAGTTGGTGTGTGTTCACTCTCTTTTCTGTACCTCTGTGGACTGTTGCAGCTTTTCATTGCACTTGAAACTAATGAAACAGAAATCAAACTAATGAGTAAAATTCGATTTTTCATTTGGAATCCATTTGATTGTAATCCCATTTGTTTTTGTTACTGAAATGGAAAGCACTAACTCATTTAGTTTTTCATTAGGCTATTAAAATGGTTGTATATCCCTGTTGTCACAGTTTGCATATCATGGCTTTCCACTGAAGTCCATTCCTTCTGAGAGCATATTATCCTTGAACATTACATTGTCTTCAAAAGGTAATGGAAAGAAAACAGCTGCTTGAGCTGTTCTGCCAACTCCTGAAAGCTTCAATGTGATACTACACTAGGTAGGTTCGCTCAATAATACTCATGCTTTTGCTTTTAGTTATTCAAGTAAAAGTATATCTTTGGCTGGAGTTCCACCTTTGTCATTCAGACACAAAGCAAATCTAGAAACAAAGCAAGGATATACCTTCTGAGCACTGAAAGGCTTTATGGATCTGGCTCACTTGTTTAGCTCTAAGAGATGGTTATCCCCAGACTATGTAAACACAGGCAAACTCCCTTGGTCAACACAAAGGTATCGAAATTAATGCTGTCTTCTCTCAGGTGAATGCACAATAAAAATAATTGACATTCTGTTTTTTACTATGTTTATTCCATATGATCTTATGAGACAGCATTACTTCTCCATTCCTGTTTGGCTAGATGTTACTAGACAAGTAGATCTGACCTTGGGAGTTCGGAAGGTGGCTTTTTAAAACTCTGCACTGCAGTCCACACAAATAGGAGCACAATCAAGTGCTTCTTTTCATGAAACATTTTTCCTTTTTATATGTATTTTTATAAATCTATAATTGTATACCTGTTAAGATACTTTCAGAAATTGATTTCCTGTTTTTAAAAATCATTATATAAGCGATGCCTGGTATGTGGCATGTTTCAGGAGCCTTTTCCTAGAAATACATCAAAAAGATTACCATAAAGGAATGTTATGTCATCTAAAAAACAAAAGACTGTAATATTGCATCAGAAGCTATGATGCATAACTTTATGTTGGCAAAGCTACCTCACTTGCATGATACACAATTGTGCTACTGAATTACAGTCATGCACTGAAACAACAGCAGTACTGCTGGCTCTGCTTGTGCAGTGGTAGTCAATAGCCATGGCATAAGTACAAGTTTAGTTTGTTTTGTTTTTTTCATGTCAGGAGCAACTTGAGAAACTGCAAGTCACTTCTGGTATGAGAGAATTGGCCATCTGCAAGGACTTTGCCCAGGGGACAGCAGAATGTTTTGATGTTTTACCATCCTTTGTGGGAGGCTTCTCTCATGTCCCCGCATGGGGAGCCAGAGCTGACAGAGGGAGCTCATCCGTGCTCTCCCTAGATTCGAACCTGCGACCTGTCAGTCTTCAGTCCTGCCAGCACAAGGGTTTAACCCACTGCACCACCTCTGGGTTGCAAACAAGAGCAGTTCTGTAAGCTCATTCTTACATTGAATTTCTATGTAAGTCGAAAGTGTCACATTGGTATGTAAAGTCAGATGAATCTGTGCTATAGAATGGATGCAGCTTGACACTTTAACTTCCCTGGCTCAACGCTATGGAATCCTGAGGGCTATAATTTTACAAAGTCTTTAGCTGTCTCTGCAAAATAATTCTGCTACCTTATCATGACAATTGACATAATCACGAAGGCATGAGAATGAGGGATCAGGGAGAGGCCCATTCATAACTAGGAGTCATATGTAAGTTGAATGTTCATAATGGGGGATGGGGGGCTGCCTGTACTCTTCTGAGAATCATGAATGTTGTTCAACAGTCCAATTTAATTTTTTGCTATTTTTATTATGTAACTTTCTAACAGGATGCTAGCCAAATATTATTTTGCCAATGCTTTTGTTGCCTACAACCTGATTCATGAGATGCAGAGTGGACTGGAGTCTTAGTCTTTTGGGTGCCTTAGATTTTACTGAAACAAATGAATACAACTACCTTACACACATATTTTAGTAGATGAATAGCATAGTATAGCAGCATATGAAAAGCATGCCTTATATAACAAGGTTTATTAAAAGCTGCAAGAGCCCAAAAAGTGGGACACATTGTCTCGGACAATGGTGAATAAGTGGCTTTTACACAGGTAAAAAAAATGGATAGCTTTAGCTGTGGGTTCATGAATTGGTGTGAGGTTGGCTAGATTACTCCTGGTGATCCTTTGAACTCTACAGATCAGCAAGTCAAAAATACACCTACATTAAACAGAGCTGTTTGTTTGGCTTTCCAGTTCACAGCCATTCTGCAAATTAAATAAGCAAGGGAGCAGATATGCCAATAAATATTGGATTAGGAGAATATGTCTTCATCCTTAGGAAGTACTAGCATACTGGTCTGGCAAGACACCGAAGCACAAATTAGTTCTTTATTTAGCATCCTGTAACTAAACAAGTTTGATATATAAAAACAGGTGAACTAAAGCAATGTAAGTAGACTGGTTTAAGATAAGTGAGAGCTTGAAATGTATTATAAATGTATCAATATACTTATTATAACACTATTATATCTCTTTTATAATCCCTTCTTTCCTATGTTGGTGTTTCTAGTGGTAGGCGTAAAACTCCAGTTTCTTGGTAGGTGCTTGCAAGGTTATAATAAATGCTCTCGTAACTTCAGTAAAGCAGAAAATGCTACATTTTCGATCTCATATACTTTCAGTGTGATAGAAACCTACTTCCCAGTTCATATGAAAGAAATTCATCATTATTTCTAGTTTCCTGACATTTAGGCAGAAATTCCACCTAAATGTTAGGAAGAACCTCTTTACTGTAAGAACAGTTCAATTGTGGAATGTACTGCCTCAATGGGATTGGGATGGTGATGACTTACCCTTCTTTGGAGGTCTTTAAACAGGTTGGGGGGGGGGGAGACACCTTTCAGGAGCAGAAGTTGGATGGACATCTTCCAGGTTGTATACTCAGCACAGCAGGAGTTGGACTAGATGACCATTGTGCCTCCTTGATTCTGTTACTCTGAAACAAGTGCTTCCCAAGCTTTCAGAAAAATAATGCTGAAAATGGAAAAGGCTGCAATTGGTCTTACAACTAAAGTACCGTAGGAAGAAGGGTAATTTGTGTGACTTCTGTGCTGCTGAAGTAACAGAGTATTAAGAAATGTCTGCCATTCAATTAGTGCTTCACCTCTTTGCACAATGCATTCCGAAGAAAAGACACTGTGCATTCTGCACACACATAGCTAGCATGCAAGGTGGCATATCTGCAGACTGTGCATTAAAGATAATGTAATGTATCATTTGGTCTGGAATTCTACCATTTACTTCTGAGTAAAGAGGTTTAGGACTGTGTTTTAAGTGGGCTCTTGGTTTGATCCACAAAGTGTGCTAATCTAAATAGATAGCTGTGGGAAAGAAAATATCACACAGCACTTGAAACCTTATCAGGTTGGCAGATGCCACCATTTGCTTAAGCTCAGTACCACCACATCTTTGGTGAAGCAGAAGCCTGATAATTTTGGCCTGAATCTATTCATTAGTACCAACTAGAGGAAACCCAGTGAATAAATGACTGAATGATGAATCGACACATAGACAAATACCACTGATTAAGTAGGTTGAGTATAACAACACTGCTGTGGCTGAAGCAATTAGCCATCTTCATATACAGCCAGTCCCCAAGTTATAAACAAGATAGGTTCTGTAGGTTTTTTCTTAAGTTGAATGTGTTCATCAGAACAGGTACATTTTTAAAGTGTAACTCCAGCCATATATACACACACACACATCCATACACATACACACATGCACATACACATAACACACATACATATACATTCAGACACACACACACACTTTCCAATTTGGCTTGTTTTAGAAACCAGGATTGGTGATAAAGCTTCAGTGGAGGCACCTTTTTCCCATGAAAACTTTTTCAAGAGTCCATATCCCTTCCTAGAGGTAGATTTTTCTCCCATTACCTATTGTTTCAACCCCGTTCTTTACTGTGAGTCATTTGTAAGTCAAATGTTTGTAACTTGGGGCAGCCTGTACAGTATAACCACCTTAACTGGTAACCTTTGCTTTTGAGTAACTACTGTGTGACACTTATATAACCCAGGCATGGCCAAACTAAGGCCCGGGGCCCAGATCCCCCCCCCCAGGTGCTTACCTCAGGCCCTCATTTTCCATTTACTCTTGGCATAAGGACATGGTGGCCTGCCGCAACCTTATGCAGAAAGGATGGGGAGGAAGACATGCAGTAGTTGAGAGCCCCTGGAGCACTCTCAGTCACCACATGTCTTGCCCTCCTCCTGGCATAAGGATGGTGCGAGTGGCCCCATCCATATGCTAAGGGGACAGCACAAAGAAAGCACATAGTCAAGAGCGCTCTCAGGAGCGCTCTCAACCATCACCTGTCTTCCCCTCCTCCTGGCATAATGCTGAGAGGACAACCCCAAGATCAAGGGAGGAGTATCAGGGAAAAGGATTGGGGCAGTCACCATGTGTCTCATTTTGCTCCCAGAATAAAGATGGGGTGAGCAGCCCCATCTTTATGCCAGAAGGACAACTTGAGGATGACCCGGGCCCTACCTTGCCTGCTCCCTGCCCCACCCTTTCCCAGGCCCTCACCCTCCCAGACCTGTTCCATGCAGCACATGCCCAACCGCCCTACCTCCTGGTCTGGGTCTCTCGGCCAGGTCTACAATGTGGCCCCAAAGCAAAAAAGTTGCTCATGCCTGATATAACTTAATTGATTGTTTCAATCCATTCGGAGAACATCTAGGTACAAATATTGTTTATTGTTTGTTTAAAACTTTAGTAAAATAACATTCTAGATTATGAAGAAAACTACATTTGTGACAACAGGCTATAGAGTATTCATTACTATACTAACCTGCTCTGCCAAAGTTTTCTTAGTGACCCAATTCTTCTCTCAAAAGCGAGAACTTTCAACTACGTTTAAAGCATAGAAAGTTAATTTGGTGAACTACAGGTTCCAGAATCCTCCAATCAATGCGCCCACTTGCCATGCTAACTGCAGGATTCTGAAAATTATAGTCCACAAAAGTAAATT